CGATATTTCTGTATACTCACTGAGAGTTTTGTGTTTTGGCACTGGTGCTACATCCTTTGTTAAAAGGCTTTATTTAATCATGGTCTGAGAAACTCAAGTGCCTATAGCAAATAGAAACTTTCCTGGATAAGCAGCATCCTTTGCTACAAAATCCAGTCTTTTTCAGGAGGTTATTTGGCACATGAGACAGAAAATACTTCTTTCTGCCAACAGCCAGAGGGTTTGGGATGGCAGTTTCAAATTTATTAGATGTCCTACTAGCTTCGGGCTGATAAGCGGATGCCTTGAGATGGGTCCAAAGACGGTATCAAGATAGGAATCCAAATACTCTCCCTTTTCCCAGCAGCAATGGGGCGAAGGAATTGGCATCTTATCTAGGTATTGTCCCTGCGCTGTGGGACACCCGTCTGCTCTTCTGGGATTTGGGGGAGTGTGTTTTCTTCTCTCTCTGGCACATCTCCATCCTTTATTTGAGATAGCATGTTTGGGAGGAAGTGGCCAATATCTGGAGGCGGCGAGCAGGCAGCCGAGGGAGGCAAGCCACGATGGGGAGGGCAGGGGGTAGCACAAGCCTAGTGTTAAGAGGCTTTGGTGAGAAAAGCGCCCAAAATAGGCAAAACTGGGAGGAAAAGAGGAATGAACACAAGAATGGAACAGAAGAGAGACATTAGAGGAGCAGGGAGGGAAGAACGCAGAAAAAGCAGCATCCAAATGTGCCATAGGACCAAAAAAAAAGCTTACAAAACGTTGGAATCAGTGACAAAAGCTGGAAAGATGGAAAGAGGTGCTGCAGTTTAAAAACCCACCTGGGGAGCTAGCTGATATTGCGTTACACTTCCATACTTAGTAAAGCTTGCAGTCTACGTTAAAGGTTTTACCTCTGCAGAATGATTTGTGGGGGATGCCCAGGCTTACTCACCATACTTAGGCTCCAACTAAGTTGGAGTTAAGTCCTCAGTTCTGTGTTTTTAGCAGGCAATATTCTATCTGTTGGCAGTTACCACTGCACTCTCTTGTCCCGACGTCTGGTTTCTCATACCCTTGAACCAGCATTTCGACTCTGTTTCTTCCATTCCGCACCTTTGCTTTCTTTCCTGCTGTTCGGAGTCTCTTGGTCACATCCTGCAGCCCTAAAGTGAACTCTGTACCTGCAGGTAAACAAACTTAATATATAAATATGCTCAAGCTTGAAGGATGTCCTGGAGACAGTCCTGGAGGCTGGAGATGTCTTCCTCCCTACAGGACCAGCACTGTTTATGCAACAGCAGTGGCAGCTGACGTCTGCTTCTCCCACTAACGTGGTCCAGCCCACATAAGGACGTGCCTTACCTCCTTACGAAAATTGTTCCTTTCTAGTTTTGTCTAGAAATTGAGGTAGTCTGGTGCAGTTCTTCCACATGCAGTCATGCCTAAACCAGTTTAAGAGAATAGCGGTTCAACTGCAAATTTTAAGGACGGAGCTCGGTCTAAAAAGTAGTAGGATATATTAGCTGTAAAATTGTTCTGGATCTTTTTTCCACCAATGTTCTGGCAGTTCCACGTACTTCCAGAAAATTCTTATTTTGCCCTGTGTCAGTCCCTCTTCAGTCCAGGCTTACGGCTGTGTAGATAACGGCCAATGCTGTTTAGTTGTTGACCTAATTATGTGTCTTTACTTTTGTTCTTCTGTTCACAACACGATCAAAGTTTGCTCTCTTTCTAGGATCCACATTTGCATATCTTTCCAAGGAAGCGTGTCTTTAGCACTCTTCTAAATATGGGCCCTGGTTCTAGACCAAGTGCTGTAGGTTTTTTACACTAATAATTTGTTCCTTTCATAAAAGATATCTCTTCATCATGTTATTCCTTTTATCGTTCGTAATTGCAAAGTCTTGTTGGAACGTGCTTCCGAAACATTTTATTACAGTGGAAGAACATGAGACTTGAAGAAAGCTAGAGTGGTTTAAAACAAAGAATCTGTCAATTTTGAAAAATATTTGGAAACTTCTGAAACAAAGAACGCCTGTAATTGATAGTTCCTTATGGAGTGTAAACGTCATGCTAATCATATTCAGCTCTAAGGCCTGCCAACTTTGAATGATATATGAGGTCAGGTTGTTACTGACACAAGGGACAAGTGTCTTCACCATTCCCATCTCTTTTGTTGTCTAAAATGGTGGTGTCAAAGACGGTGCCTCTGATTTCATCTCACTGTATTAAATTAAATTAAAGAAAATCAAATAATCTAATCTAAGCATTCCCTTAGTATCCAGCAGTCTAAAACCCTGTCATCTCGTTTAGATGGTTTGACGCTACGAGCACCTTGCTGGGTGTCTGGTAGGGGCGAGCTGCCCTTGCTAGCTGCCTTCAAACAGTTTGGGTGCTTTGGAAAGTCATTCCCTCCACCTCTAGGCTCGAGGTGGCTTTGATTGCCCTCTCCCACTGCCGGGCCCCTCTTTCTTCGTCTCCCACCTTTCTCCAGAGTCTGCTTTTTACCCCACGCCTCTCTTGCTTCCTGACGGTTACGCTGTCTCCTTCTGCAGAGCTCCACTAAGGGCATTGATTAGCTACAGAGGACTTGAGGAAGAAAGGAGTAGCAACCAAAACAAAAATAAAACCTGCCCTCAAATAAGCTCCTAAAGAGACTTCTGAAGTGGGAATTCTAGAGACTGTGGAGATAAAAAAGGGAAAGAAAATAAGCAACTCCGTAACGTGTGCATCAGCAGCATGGATGTGGAAGTGCAGGCTCCTGCCCTGGGGGGGGGAGTTCGATATATTCCAAAGACGGACGACAAGTGTGAAGTGCTGATCCATGCCCAAATTTCCTCAGGCTTCTGGTGTTTGGGATTATGGTTTCTCGTTACTATATTTAGGATCCTTTCCGTTTAAATGGGGTTGGAACGTGCAAAAGTCCTGCAATCAGAAATAGTGTTTGTTCCTATCATGTTCTTTAAAGTTCCTTTCAGTTAATATATATGTGTATTCTTTCTCCTGGCATACTTCTCTCTCTGGCATACTCTCCTGGCATTCATACTCCTGGCATACATCTCTTTAGTCATTTTTACACCCATGCTCACATACATAGGAAAAAAATGCACCTATAAGTCTGAATAAGAGTAGATATCACTTGATGTGAGACTAAAAATGAATAAATACAGTGCAACTGCATGTTTTGAAAGTATTCATCTAGCTTTTATGGATGTCGTTTAATTTCATTATTTCTTTGTATTGAAAAATGTGAGTCAGGATTTGTTTATGTCATCTCCTTCATGATTCAGCACTTAACCATTTGATCTTCCTCAGGTCACTTGCTCTTTCTGTGCCTTAATTTACCCACATCATCATCATAATTATAATAACAGTAATTGCCTGCTTCATAAAACATTATGGGGCCAATTTACAAGTGATATTCATAAGCCGCCCTGAGAAACTCAGGAGAAAGATCCCGTAAAAATATAAAGCGTAATTGCAATTATTATTTTATTTAAAATGGACGTAGCTTACAAACAGTCCTGATTCAGAGCGGCGCAGTAAGGCGGCAGCCCCTGGGTGTGCTCCTGAGCCTCAGCAGTTGTCACGCGCGGCGTGCGCCGGATGTGGTTTTCCCTCCTCAAGAGAAACAGGAGTGGTAGGAGACCCCGGTGCCTCCGCAAAGCACAGGGACGGCCGCTCCGTGGTCCGGTGCGTGGTGCAAAGGGAGAACGAGCACGTCGACCTCCCTAGCTCCCCGTGCCTTCCGCTGGCCAGCACCACTCCAGAGGTGCCGCGCGCCAACTGCGGCACCCGTGTCCCGCTGTGCCTTCCTGGGATCCTAGGGGAAATCATGCCGGCTCGAGTCGTAAGGAAAAGCACGTGTGCTTTTCAGAGTTAGCCAGACGTTCAGCCCGGAGAAAAGCCACTGCTGAGGCCAGGCTCTGCCTTTATTGTGCCGGGGTCTCCGGCAGAGCCCCCTGCGTGCAGAGCGGACTGCGTCAGTTTAAAGATCAGTCCGTGAGCGGACAGAGTGAAATCTCCTTCCGGGCTTACTGAACGATTTGCATTTTGTATTGTAACCGTGCTCAGTTCTTTCTCTCGAGCGTTCATGTTTTTACTGATGTGGCGCGTGTACATAAGAAAATACTAACCTTCATGCTGTATGTTCCTACAGATGAGGATGAGGATAATATTGAGATAGATACTAACGAGGAGGTTCCTGAATGCTCTCTTACTGGAGGTGGAGATGAGCTTACTAACCTAGAAAATGACCTTGATTCAACGGGTAATTTAAATAATGGCTATTTTGTGTATTTTGCATGACTAACACTCCATCGTCATCAGTGCTGATGTGCTTCTTCTCTCTTTCATAATTTTAAACTATTAGTTTGTGCCTTTCTGGGTCTTTTTACCCCTTATGTTCATTCTTTGTGAATATTTTCCCTTCATGTTTGCTGTTGGTTGAAACTGAGAATAAGCAACAAAACGAGTGTCCCCCATAACGGCAGATGCAGATGTTTCATGGGGAAGGGTGCCCCAGGCTCGATCTGTAAAGCTGAGCCCCCTGCAATCGCCCCACTCGCTTGGGCGAGTTGTCCCAGCAAAGCAGCGCAGCAGGCTGGCTGGAGCGCCCGGCGCTTGCCTCTGTGAGTACAGCTGTATCTCTCTGTTGCGCGGTGCACTTGCTGCCAGGACTTTTGGGTCATTGCAAGCTGGCTGGGGCTATGGCCACCTGGAGAAGTACGGTGTGCCCAGGACAACCTCGGGAAAGAGGCAGTAAAAGCAAACTTACATCTTCTGAGTCGGTTCTGCCCATGCCAACGGGACGCAAGTGCGTAACTCGTTGGGAATTAAACCAACACTCTTGATACAGTATTCGGTCCTTGTAAATTACTTTCATTGCCCTCAGTTGCATTAGTGAGCTAGTCTTTTCTTCAGTGGGAAAATTTTGAGTCATGCCCCTTTATTTTTTTGTTTGGGCATTTCCAAACACATAAGAAAATATATTTAGTGTTTCCTGTTTCCGGCTTTTGACTTAAGCTGATTTAGAGCAGAATCTTGTCAAATGGTTTTCCAATAAATGCTGGTTCATTTTAGGAGAAACAGAAAATCAGGAAATGAATATTCCCGTCACATAGCCCCAGTGACTTGCCAGCGTTTATTTCTGTGGGCCTTTTTTCCCTGAGAGAGACCTTCTCAGAGATACAAAACCACTACCCAATGCTTCATGCCTGCCATGGGAAGACATTCGAGGGAAAAAAAAAAAAGGGGACATCCTTGTGAAGTTGAGTTTGCACATAAGCCAGGAGGATGACTAGCGTTGTTCAAATGAACGAGGAAGAGGACGGGCAGTAACACAGAAAGCGCTCTAATGCTGTGATACGCATCAGTGTTCACAGATTTCAGTGGATTTCTGCCAGTTCGTAGCAAGTTCTGACGAAGGCTGAATCTCTTGGGGACGTTAAATGCAAAGGTGAAAGGGCCTTTTCACGTGGGGATCGCTACTGACTGCGTTAATTAATTTATCCCCTGCTGAAGCTTAGTTCCTTCCATCTATTGCAAGAAAACTTCTTCTTTTTAACTGCAAGTTGTTGGTTTTAAATGCTGCACCTATCTGTGTTTGCTGATACTGCCACATGCTGCTGTGAATGTATCCGATAAAATGTGAACCTCTTATATCATAGTTGTTACATGATGTTTATGTATAAACCGGCGAGAATGTGCATGTACTTACATGTGAGCCTCAATTAAGGACACCCTGGCTGGGTGTGCCGGAGGAAAGGGAAACTATCCTTCGTCATAACCCGGCCCAGCCCGCTGCTGCTGGAGGCAGGCATCGTTTGAGCCAACGACGTTTTGGCTAACGTCAATCAGAGCGCTCCAAACCTTGGAAGGAGCCGTGCAGCAAAGCAGACATGGCTGCGCTTCCCGCGCTTGCTAGCAGTCGCCTGCTTGCAGTGAAGAGCTCGGGCTCTGCCTGCAGAAAAACACCGCAACTGCTCTTTTTTTCCCGTGTTTGGCCCAAGGCACGCAGAAGGGACGCAGGTGCCGCTGCAGCCCCTCCGCTCCCGGGGCGGTTTCTCGCGCGGTTGTGCATGCGCGACGTGTCTGGGGGCATCTGCTGCGGCGCCGCTCTGCCGTCCTCCCCGTGCTAGCTCACGGACCTGCCGTGCGGTTTGGTAGTGACCTCTTCCTCCCGGCTGCGTGGGGGTGGGGGGGGGGGTAATTGTGTGTGTAGGTGTGCTGCATATTCACACGTTCAACGCTGACGTACAGAATGAGCATTAAGGGGAAGTAAACTTCTCTACTATTATATATTTGGGCACTGGCCCAGATCCCTGAAGCTGATGAAAAAATGCTGTGAACTTCAGCAGACTTTGAATCTGTCCCTTAGATGGAGTTATCAAGTGTTTTATGGCCCTCCTGGCTTCAAAGTCTTCTATAACTCATAGTAAGACATTACTAGAAAGCTCGCTCTTCTGATACTGCAATTTTAAGGCTGAGAAGCTGTGCCAAGGAGCCTTAGGATGAATTAGCAGTTCATAAACTCGAGTTGTTATCAGTACTTATAATGTGAGATAAATTGTTATATGTCATCCGAAAATAAATGGCTCTTTAAGCGTGCTTTTCTGCTGAAGTATAGGTATGCCCAGGCTGGGAGGAAATTCACATAAACACCGTCTAGTTTCTATGGTTTTCATCTACTATCTTGAAGCATCTAATAGAGCATCCTCGTTTAGCCAAGCGCTGTCTTTTTTTTAACAAGTATTTTTTGCGAAAACTCAGGAAACATCTCCGCGTGTAATGCCCGTTACATAAATCTACATCAATCTGGCCCGCAGAAAAAGCAGGTGTTTTTTTTGCAGTTTTCACATTTCTGTTTGAAATGATAGGAAAGGGAAGGAAATCTGCTTTTAACTTGATACATTGCTGTAGCGGCTCTGCATTTAAATGCATCTCACTCTGTTGTATGTGGTATTTGCATATTTAGCAGAACAAAACAGTAAGTTGGTGGATTTGAAGCTGAAGAAGCTCCTAGAAGCTCAGCCACAGGTGGCAAATTCACTCTCCAGCGCTGCTCAGAAAGCTGTAACTGATAGCTCAGAGCAAGACATTAAGGTAAGTTTTGATTAATGCTTTTGTCTCAGTACCTGTGTGTTCCCATTTCTGTTTTGTACTTCGTGGTGAGGAAAATGATTTCTTATCAAATCCTTCACAGCGGGAAACCCAGAAAATCTTCATGGCAGCGCAGTTGTGTGGTTTGCTGCGCACTCGGCTTTTTCTCTTGATTAATCAACACATTTTCCATTTATTTTTTTGATCTCGATGCTGGCTAATTGTCTGGCGTGATAGTAACAGATACACGAGGCGTCTCTGAATCCTTTCCCGATCAGCTTGTCGCTTAAATCAGCAAAGCAGCCTGGGCGCGATCCTGCTCCTGGGGAAATCAGCAGCAGCAAGGCTCTCGCGGACTCCAGTGAGAGCAGGATTGGACCCTCGGTGCTTTGCTTCCCTTCCAAGCCTGCCCCCCTGGTTTTTCGCCATTAAAATGAAGCCGCGTTGCGTTTTAAAGACATACGTACTTGGGTACTCGACAACGAGCGGCTCTGCGGAAAACGAAGCCATGGGTACGTGGCGCGCGCGGTGGTTCTGCCTCTCCTCAACGTTCACCGCTTTCGCAGAAGGCGCACACCAATCAATTTGCCGTTTCATTTTCTTAATTAGGCCCCTTGTGTTCTTACTACTATATATATTTTTTTTCATGTCATTAATATCCCCATGGCTCTGGGGCACTTGCAGTTGGGTATAACTTTTCACCCACCTGCAGTCTGCGGGGAAAGCACTGCTGACTGAAAGGATTTCCTTCCCCAGATACAGAGAAGCTTTGAAGTCCCAAAACAATGACTTTCATTGCTTTTCCCTTACACTGTCGGTTCCTATAAATTGGTGATGAAAGTGTGTGGCAGCAGCGGAGGACTTTCGGTCTCTATCTTTGAACAAAAGGAAGCCTGGATCAAGTCTGATTTTTGCGTTCAATTTAGCTTTCTGCAGTGGATTTAATGCAAAATGAAGCTGGCCCAAGAATAATACAATGGATTGAAAAGGCTAACTGAATTAGTGGGCTTAGAGGAATACATTTGTAAAGTGGCAGAAGTCCCTAGTCATAAAAAGGTTTCTTAAAATGGGATTTGCTGGCTAATCACACTGATATTTTAGCATGTTGCCAGGCCTAAAAAATTAGCCGTGTTTGTTTATTTTGGTAAAGGCTCTAGTTTAGGCTGTCAGACGGTTATTGCGCTAATAACAAGAAAGGGCCTTTTATTTAACCAGAATCATAACCGCCCGCTTACTGCGGCTGAAAAGCCAGCCCTATAGTATGAGCAATACTTTTTAAAGCTTAATTCAGCAAATGACGCTCGGGGCACCTCCATGAGGGCAATTCGGTATCAGCTAACCTGCTGAGAATGGTATTTCTCGTTACAAAAAAGCTTTTCTGCATTAGCTAATTTTGTTGCGGTGGTGGTTTGGGGTTTTTTTTGTTTTTTTTTTTTTTAAGTTACCCCGGCAAAAGGTGCAACCTAAGAGTTTCCCCCCGCCGCGTACGTGTTTTGAACGGAGAGGTGGAAAATGGCATTCGGAAGGATATATGGTGCCCATCTGTTCGCGGGGAGCGCCCGGCATTGCCTTGGATTTGTTTTTTAATAAAATGCAGTTTACACGTTTATAAATGAGGCATTCTGTGTTTGTGGCAAAGGATAAACTGTTACCTTCCCTGGAGGATTGTGTATCCCCGGCCTCCTTGAGGCTAGAGAATAGGCCATTGGAGAACTCCCTCATTACTGATTGTCTCAATGCAGAGGAAGGGCAAAGTCTTGGTAGCTTTTGATAACCAGTTTCAGCATTCAGCAGGCTTAGCTATTAGTCATGCATCTTAGCCTTTCCCTATTTACTTTCAAAACACTTAATAAAAATAATAAAAGATTAGGTATAAAATGAAATATTTGTTTGGTACACAGCACCTCGGTATCTGCAGTTTCCACACACTGCAGTGGTTCAGTCTTCTGGGATATTTCGTGTTGATAGACCCATTTGAATTTGTTACCAGTATTAACATAGGAAGCCCTGGAAAAGATAATTGTAGTTTCCTTCGCTGTAAAGGGCTTACTTACAAATCTGGCTTTGGAAAGTTATAGCTGATGAAATGCAGTTCAGTGGGGTAGTAGTATAATCCTACCTTTTAGCCTTCATCCAGCATTAGTGGTTTATCTCAATGGGCATAAAATTAGAAACTAGTTCTTCTTGTCATACAAGTCTGGGGGACTATACGAAATGACAGAATTCTTTACCGGGCAGGAGCGCGAAGGGAGGGAGGGCGACTAAAGGCAACATGCTTTTAAAACGATACAGATCGTGTTCCGGGGTATACACGCTGCTGCTCGGCACCCGCGCGTACGACGCTCGACAAATCGGAGTTACAGAAGAGCAACTTTCGTTTGAGATCTGCGTCGCTGGCAAATATCGGTGACAAGTAGTAGGTCTTGCTGTTGAGTAACGCCTAGTCCTGCATGAGGGTGCCCAAATAGCAAAAAGCCAGTCCTTGCCACCACGCATTAAAAAAAAAAAGTTAATCACTCTTCTCCTTTTTTCTGCAGCTGATACTTTCAGCCTGTATAAACCGCAGTCCGAGTTGCGAAATTCCCTTTGCACACCCTGCATTCTGTTCCCTCGTTGCAACATACCTTTCCCGTTTGTGACTTCACATTTGGAAACAAAAGACACTGTTGTGCGTCCTGTTTTTCTAGCAGAATGGAGCAGAGGAGCATCGTGCTGAGCGGTTGCAAAAAGCAGCAGAACGTTTCAGAAATCCTGTTGTGTTCAGCAAGGACTCCACCGTCAGAAAAACTCAGCTCCAGTCTTTCAGTCAATATGTGGAGAACAGACCAGGTAGGAGGGAATATAAAACATGTTTTCCCATCTTATGATTTAATAATATTTAACAATAAATATATTAAAACCTGATAATGTAAGTCCACATTTCAATACATAAATATCAAGCTTTATAATAATTTTACATGTCTTTCCTCTTTTTTCAAGAGATGAAAAGGCAGAGATCAATACAGGAAGATACAAAGAGAGGAAATGAGGAGAAGGCTGCGATAACTGAGACTCAGAGGAAGCCATCAGAAGATGAAGTGCTTAATGTATATTAATTTTTTGTCTGGTTTCATGATTGCTGATAATTCCAAACTGTATGTGGAAATAGTGCCTTTATTTGTTAAAATGAGATGTTAGGTTTTTTTAGATGTCAATCTCCAGTGCATTCAAAGCAGAGTGAGAGGGGTGCACTGTTGAATTAGTCTGCAGTGTGGTGATAATTGTCAGATAAAAAAAATGAATTTTTCAGAGTTCCACAGCCCCAGCTTCCTTGAGACATTTCCATCAGGGCACTTCCCATAAAGAGATTCCAGTATTGATCTACCGGGAGGATTTTAATTATTACAATAGCAGATACCGCAGAGCTGCAGTTAGAGGGAAGAGTCACATGAGACCTGCTAGAATTTCTCAGCCAACCCATTTTGTTGGCTTGGGTTAATGGGTGTTCAACCTTTCCATTATCCAGATCAGCCGTGAATTACTAGCTGAATGATGTTTGCATTAATATAATATATATGGTAATTTCTTCACTTAATTAACGGGGAGGTTCAGCTCAGTAGGGGTATGGGCTGATCATGTGTAAAATTGATTTGTGAGGGAAATATTTGATAGACCGCAGGGAGAAAGCTGGTTTTGATGGACAGCTGCGGGACAGAGGCAGGAAGAACAAGTTTTAACCTGAATTTTTTGTCTGAAGACGCAAGACAGCCTTTGATGGCGGTCGTTTGTTGCTCTCCATGATTTATCTAAACACATTTGTAGTTTTTGCTGAAGCAATCCAGAGCTGAGTGGAGATTTTGTACCGCTGTCGTATCTACACTAAACCATCTAACTTAGGAACCTGCCAGTTATTTTTAGCACAGTTGTACTTTTGCAGAGCTGGAAAGGTCTGGCGCAGTAAGTTTGCATTATATATGCAGATGGTACACATGAACTCCTGGGATACTTCAGCCTGACACAGCACTTCTTTTCATCTTATAATAACAATTGCTAACAATTATGCATGCTGACATTAGGGAAGTTTTCCTACTATTTTCAATTAATCAGAGTCGATGACAGGCAGTATATTGCACAGCATCTCAACTCCCCGGACTGATTTTTTTCCTTCACGTACTGCTCTCAGGTAGTTCTGTTGTCGTGGTTTTTCTGGCTCTGTGACAGGTAGAAAAAGGTTTCCTTTTGAATTGATACTATTGGCTGCTTTGTGTGTGAAGAGAAGGAACGAATTAATGGGGGTATACGATGCTTATGTTCACATGGCCCAAATTTGAAAGTTCTCTGCTTATTCCTGGTTCTGGGAGTTCGGCCGTTCTGTTAGCCTTCACTTGAACGTGTCTTTATTTGCAATAATGTGCTGACATTATTATTTTTGTTATTATTGTTACACCTTTTACGTGACCATGAAGCTGAATTGGCCATTTCAGGCTCGTTTGCAGAGAAGCAATTGCAAGCGTTCAGTTAAAGCATCAGTGGTTCTTATGCAGCAACAAGTTAGCCTCTAGTAGGGAAATACATCTCAAAAAAGAACCTGTATTTTTTTGTCTTCCCAAGAGACAGTGATTTTAAGTGCATCCTTACAGATGCGGACAAAACATGAAAGCATTTCACCAGATTTTTTCCAGCTTAAAACATTCCTCTTGGGTCTGAAGGACTACTAATGACTGTGAGCAAAAAGGAGATGGGCTTACTCTAAAGGAGTAATATTTTCCTCTTAACTTCTTATGCAAAAACATACCTCAGAAATGGCGTTTCAGCCTAGTCTACATCCCGTGCTACGCCTGTACAGGCAATATAGTACATGAAAGTTGTCGAGCCCCGTGAGAATAGCTCTGAGGTGCTGAATGCCGGTTCTCAGACTCCTGGTGTAGAGCCCAACTGGTTTGGGACCGTCGTTGGAAATATTTGGAAACTCGTGTGGTCTGTTGAGACGAGGCAGAGAAGTTGCAGGGTGCAAGGGGTGAACGCGAGTTGTTGGTGCTTCCACTACTCTCTCGGCAAGGCGAAGGTTCAACGTGATTTATCAGGTTGGCTTTCCAGGGCCTCGTTCGGGCTGGGGATTCGCCAAACCGGAGAGGCAGGGTAAAGCTGGTTTGGTCCTCCCTGGGCACCTGAGAGACGGTGCGGTAGATTTGGTCCCTGCGTCTCAGGGTAAGAGTCTCAGGCACAGTAATTAGCAGTATTTTTACAAGTCACCGTGTAGCAGGGCAGTCGCTTGCAGTAGGAGAAAGCGGGAGAGGCGTTGGAGCTTAGTCTGCCGAGTGTGGGCGTTACGATTGACCCCGAGGACCTGGAAAAGTGAGGGAGCTTGTTTCGGGTTTGTTGTGAATCTCAGAAGCCCACGTTTGAATTGCCGTTAGAGCTGCTTGCGCTGGTTCTTCTCAGGTTAGTGTTTTAGAACTGAATAAGAACTGAATGGAGTAGAAACGGCACATTAAGTAATGCCGTAGTTGGATTATGTCTCCTTTCATTATGCTTTGCTGCAGCAGCTTTTATGTACTTAGAAATGAATTACACAAATTTCAAAAAGTCAGCCCGGTGGTTAAAACTGCAAAATCAACGAGGAGACTCTGAAGTGTTCCCCAAAAGAAAAAAACGGGATGTTTTAATAAACAAATAGTGACATTTGGCAAAATTGTGAAGTTCATGAAACGTAAGTGTTAGCTTTTTGGTAGCGAGCATGATATTTGGTTGTTTAGGTAAGTGCCTTACTAAGTGTTTGTGGAAAGGAAAAATGCAAGTTACAAGTGATGTTTTTTCTTCTTGTTTGTTCTCTTTAACAGAAAGGGTTCAAAGACACCAGTCAGTATGTTGTAGGAGAATTGGCAGCACTAGAGAATGAGCAAAAGCAAATTGACACCCGTGCCGCGCTGGTGGAGAAGCGCCTTCGCTATCTCATGGACACAGGTACGGTGCCCAATTACACTGTAAACAGTTTTGGCAAATTGAGCGTTCACAAACTCTTATAGAGTTTTGGAAGTGTGAATCTTTGAAGCCTGAATGTTCAGCAAAACTGCCTTGAAAATAAAAAGGCTGCGATTTGCAGCCACCTCTCTGGGCCCTGGTGATAAGAGTGCCTTCATGGGAAGTGATAACTTGCCCTGATACCGTGTGAGCCAGCACTATTGAACAGTGTGCTCATCCATGCAGAGTTGGAATACACATCTGTGCCTCATTGATATGCCACTGCTTAAAAAAAAAAAAAAAAAAAAAAAAGGAGGGGGGAATAAAAAGTAAGATCTTCACTGTTCTACTGATTCAGTGGGAGAAAAAAAAGATTTGGCCAGCTAAAGCCATGTACTGTGTGAAACAGAGCACAGTACATGGGGGAAGGCTCCATTGACTAGATCACTGAAATTTGAGAATACTATCTGGTTACTGATGCTCCACAATTATTTTATTTATTTATTTATTTTCAGGAGAGCGGGTTTTAAAAAGTCGGTAATACTTGGTGTTGTAGGTGCAACGGAAGGGATTAAAGTGTAAGGGCAGGTTTTTATTAAATGCATGGTGGCTGTGGCTTCTGCAGTGAATGAATGTTAGGTGGGTGCTAAGTGCTGATGGTCATCAGAGATGGAGAGGTTTAACAGCATCTGTTTGAAACAGTTTTGGCACTTTGATATTTCAAAACTAAATAACATTGTAATTCCAAATGGTGTTGTTCCTGTCCCTTCAAGAAAAAAGTTGGTGCACGTTATGTTTAATACACGTTTAAAAGTTGTATGCGTATCTGATGTTAAAAATTTGAAGTCTGTCGTTAGCTGAAGTAGCAAATGGATGTAGAAGCAGGTTTAAATCCGATGAGATGCTGTTACTAAACACAGAAGAATAGAGTTTATTTAAAGTTCAGTAATTTGAACTGAGCTGGCAGCGTGTGTCCCAGTATTAGGGTGGTTTTTAAAATGTATTTACTTCTGCATGTGCTCTGGTGGTTTGACTTTCTGAAATTATTTTGCAAGAAAATATAACTCAGGAAGAATTTCTCTCTTGGATGAATGCTCGTATATTAGGACTTTTACCTATTATGGTCTTTTGAAGGACTTCTTCAAATGCGTTACATGATCTTTAGATGTTTAGCTAGTGAAGACTGTATATATTATCCTGCACTTTCCTGTGTACTTTGTCATATCAGTGAAACGTACGTTCTACACCAAAGAACTGCTAGAGCATTTCACAGCTCTTACGGGATCTCCGAATACCACCTCTAGGCATACGTGGAATCACCAGCTTAGCACTTGGGGATTTTTTTTTAGTCTAATACACCCTTATTACTTAATATATGCGTTTATTCTATTTTAAAAGGACATTCTTGTCTTTCTTGTAGTTCTTACATTTTTGGAATTTCTTACATTTTGGAGTATAACAAGAGTTGCTGTAATCTCCATGTCCTGCACACGGTGGGATGACTGAGTGTTTCTTGTAAATGTTCTGCATAAAATGGGAAGTCTAGTGCAGAGCTAGAGTAGCTTATAAAGCAGAGAGAGCTGTGACAGTCGTAACAACAGTACTAACGAATGCTCTTCTGTTACTGGGAGTGGGGAGGCAAGTGGTGCAGCCCTCATTAAAAAAGTTATTGTTATATTCTTTGATCATTTCCTGTGTATTCAGCATCCTTCCTAACAAATTTAAACAAACGCTTTGACGGGTCCTTGGTGAGGATCCTATTTACATTCTCACGTTAAAAACACAGTTTGGGAGAAAGTATTTGAAGAGTGGAGTTCCTTACCTGCAGTTAACTTCATAGCCTTGGAAGCAGGGATATGCAAACTTCCCTACCCCCGGCTCACATCTGAACCGGGGGACTACCTTGTGTACCACCTCCCCTGCCAATCCATATCCCATTTGCTGTCAGACAGCATCCCTCTGGCAGCAACTGCAATTGCTCATGTGGAAAAGTAGTATTAGGAGGTGTGTTCCCCCCCCCCCCCCAACAGGCTTTAACGTGATATGACCTTAGTGGGAAAAACCCTATCAGCTTTTTGCTGTCCCTTTGACGTGCTGTTCTGGCAGTTCTCTGCCTGCTCCTTTTCCTTCTCCCTCTGCTCCCTACTGCAGTTGCTTCAGAGGATCTGCCCTGTCCAGTCTCGTTAGTGGCTCTGTTGGTTAGGATGGCCCTTGTTTTCCTTCCCTACCTCTCTTTATGACGTAATTCCTCAGACAGACAGACAAGCAGTTTGTGCGTCTGCCTTAGTCCCAGCTTTGTCCGTAAGGGTCTAAGTCGTCTTCTCTTGAGTGTCTGACTGTCTGCGAGATAAAGCTGGAAACAAAAAGATGAGTCAACACCATCTGACCTGCCAGCTTTCCACAGACCACCAAGTGGTCTGTAAAGCCAAGTCTGAGGGAAGGACGTAACCACAGCTCAATAGCTACAAAAGCCCTGAAGGGCTGTGGATGATGATCTAGGGGTTTTGCAAATACTCCCCTAGCTGTTGGTACATACCAGAAAGATGAGAAACATGATATGTTGCCAACTCTCAGAGTTGAACGGAAAGGTCTTTTGATGTCTGCTTTTTCTTAAAATGCAAGCTTTAGGAACCAGGAGGTCGCATGGGCTTAAAGATTCTGCAAGGAGGACATAAAGGAAAAGAACCACAAATGGATTTGTTGTATGTTTAAAGCTGTCTTTTAAGCAAATCTCTTTATTTAATCTTGTACTGCTTGGAGCTGTAATATTGGAGAGCCTCAGGAAAGCAAGAGTCTCCACTGACAACTGGAGCAGGATGCAATCTAACCCAGTAGAGAAGAGCCTCCACTGAATTGTCCTAACAACTGTCTGCAGGACCTTATGTCCCGTTAACTTAGGGGCACATTTCAGATTGGGGTTTCCAGCTTTGTTTCCTCATGCCCTAAGCAGAGGCCCAAAGCGGTGGAGGGTAAATGGAACAAGCAGGAGACCTACGTTGCCTTAAACATGACTCGCTAATGCCATCCCAGTCTCGGCAGGCGTGTGCGGGAAGACGGTGGAGCGCTGTCTGCTCATTCCCGCTGTGTCGGCTGGTGCCTAGGCTTGCTTTTCTTTCTCTGGTGTGCTTGGCCCTCTTCTTTAGTAGACTTTTACTAAGAAGAAAGCTTCCTTCCTTCCTTCTTATCTTCCTTCCTTCCTTCCTTCCTTCCTATCTCCACTCCAGCACAAGACTGGAGGTTGCTTTTTTCTGATGAGGAGACTCTTGGCCAGGAGAGTTCGTTTTAGGCTGCAGCTTTCAAAAACGTCTAGCATGGCTGCAGTCACTGACAGGAGAAGACTTTGTCTCCTGTTCCTGTGCATCAAGGCATTAAAACAGATGGGAATTTCCTTACTACAGCCTAGCAGTAAGAGCAGATAGAGGTTACACCTTGGCAGTGCAAGCTTGGGTAAGTGAGGAAGAATTCATGGTTTTTACCAAAAGGGAAGCAGCTTTGGCGAACGAAGTAGAGACAAGGTACGTTCCTGGTTAAACGCCAGCTCCTGGTGTTTGGTGACTCCATTAGACCCTCAGCTTGCTTTTCAATGAAAGCGTCTGGCACTTATGATGGCAAATAAAAGTTTCAAAATGCAACTCCCCAGGGATGGGGTTGGTGTCCCATGGCCCGACCTTCTGAATGCGGTCTTCAGAGCCGCATTAGGAAAAGGGCCCCATGCTGACTGGTGGAAACGGGGTGGTGGGAGCAGAGCCCTGGCCCGTGGCTGCGTGTGGCTCTGCAGAGTGCCTTTGCGGCTGGGGAGCAGAGGGTCGGGCCCTTGGCCCAGGCGAGCCAAGATTTGCAAAGTTTGGCAGCCAGGCAGAGAGTTTTGACCTGGGCGAAGCTTTGCATTCTCAGCGCCAGCTGCTCATAGAAACACTTTCCTACAATGTGTGAAAAAATAAAAGTTATTAAAGTTGCCAGGTTGCTGATTTCCATTTGAATGTGAATAGTCACACTGTTATTAATATCCTGTAATTTCTGTCACTGGTAGCATACCCCAGTCCTTGCTCTTTGCACTTTGAATGAAAATATAATCCCACCTTGTTCCAGTGAAGCGTAGTTTACTAGTACACTGCAAAACTGTGAGGGGAATCGGTGTTTCAGTGTCTTGAACTCAGTCTGCACGAGCTGATGGTGTGTTTGCTATCACTGTCAGGATAACAGGTAACAGCTGCGTGTGCAGAAGGGTTTTTGCAACACCGTTTTGGAAATACGGCATAACAAAAAATTCGGTGGGTGCAAATGTAGAGAAAACACAGAGCAGAGGTTAAAATAAGAGGAGGCGTTTGTATGCTTGAGTATAAAAAGCACCGAATTTAATATTGCTGCTTTCCCTTCTTCCTCTATTATAGTAGCTTGACGTTGACAGACGACAGTGGTGGGATTATCTGGCTTTCTTCAGGATTGTACTTCCCCATGTTGTGCCTAACCTGTTATGGATAAATAGTTTTGTCTCTACTTCTGACAGTGTCTTTCTCTATCGCAGTTTCTTCTGTCATTGTATTTTAAGGTGTCTATCATCTTGATATCTAAGCAGCAATTAAAATGCAGAATTATCACATAATGCAATTAAAGTGAAAAACAAAGAAGCCTAGTTTACAAATCTCTAATCTAAATTTAGCTCTTTTTCGGTCACTATTTCTTCACTAATTGCAAAAACAACTATTTAAAAAAAAATTGCAGCTATCAGATATTTTGTTATCTGACCACAGGGTATGAAGTGTTTTTAATTGTTTTTCTGATTAGCTACAAGCTCCCAAATTCAAGTAGAAGCACATTTGTATTTTCCGTGTGAGATCCTGTACCCTACCAGTGGATGAGCATGTTTGTGGTAGTGTATAAGGATTAATGAAATAAAAAAAAACCCTCTGCTGCTGCTGATTGACCAGTGATGGTAAATGTAATTGAATTAGCAGTGCACTAAAATAAATGTAGACAAAATAAATATAGACAAGAAAATCTGG